TTATAATTAATTTAAATTAAATGAAACGTCAAAGTACACGATACAACGTATCATCTTCTCTTTCTAATAATTTAATGAAACGGTAAAGCTTCCGCGCTTGGCGCTGGATGGGCGAAAATAAATACAGAAAAGGATTAAGAGTAATAATTTAATGAAACGTCAAAGCTTCCGCGCTTCGCGCCGAAGAGCGGGGGCGAATTGCACTCAGACAAGGACACGATACAACGAATTGTCTTCTTTCTCTAATAATTTAATGAAATGTCAGAGCTTCCGCGGTATGCGCGGAGGAAGGGGGACTTGATTCAAACATTAAAGATTAAGAGTCGAGAATGGTACATCGAATCGCCTTCTTTCTTTAATCATCGAATGAAACGTCAGAGCTTCCGCGCTACGCGCGGAGGAAGGGGAACTTGATTAAAAAAGGATTAAGAGTCGAGAACGGTCCAACGAATCGTCTTCTTGCTCTAATAATTTAATGAAAAGTCAAAGCTTCCGCGCTTCGCGGAGGAGGGGGGATGGGGGGGAGGACTCTCCCTCCCTGTACCCAACCCCCTAGGGATTATGAATTATCGAGTTTGAAAAATGTCATATTTCTTTTTTGATTTGAAATTTTGTGTTTGCAGTTGGCATTACAGCTATCTTGTAATGGCTGATAACTTTTATATACGGGGTTGTTTCATTTTACTTGTATAGACATGTCGTGTAATAAATTCATTAAATGAGTAATACATTCATATAGTCTGGATAAATTGTACAGGTTAAGCCTACTTTATATGATACTTTTACTGAATTTATTAAATTAAGACAAAGTACGACAAAGTTTACTTCTGCCGTTTTTTGAACGAAAGAGCCTCTTTGCACTGTGTACTTTTTTTTGTAATTTTCTTTATCTCTTCTCTGCTTTCCCCGATTTTCGTTCAAAGTGTGTAAATACGCACCATATATTTTATTATGTATATCCGATTTTGTGTAAAAATACATTTGGGATTTTTATAATTGTTATGCTCATTAATTTTGTTTGTGTATTATAGAAAACAAGTAAACAACTTTTTCCCAGCTCAACACGTTGGATTACTCGGGTGTTATATAAATGCTACCACCTATCCATAATACTTTGCAACTATCGGTTTTGAATTAAACATTTATATCTGTTATGATGTCACGGTTTGCATTTCTTTTGTATATCAAGTGTGTTTTTATTTTTATTTTTGTCTACATTATTCTGCCCTGGGTCTTATATCACAAAGCCTACGTATCGATCTTAAACCAATTCTAACTTTGTATATATATTCTAGCCATCTTTCTAAGTATTTCTCCTTGATTTCACATTTCATACTGCGTCGAAAAGTTAAAGCCAGGTTATAACTTATAAATAAATGTAAAAACAGAAGGGTTGTCATAACTGGGGAATTTAGAGTTTTAAAATCCTAATATTTCTTATTTGATTCATATCTCGTGTTTACAGTTGTAATTAAGATCTATGAGTCTTCGAATGGCTGATAATAGTGTATAAGATTACTTTATTTTACTTGTAAAGACCTGTCGTATAGTCCTTTTTGTAAAGGGTAATAAATAAATGAATATTGTTTAATCATGTAGCATGTTAATTATTACTCAAGTCAATTAAAATGAAAGAAAGTACGATGAAAAGAAATGAGTCATCGTGACACAAATGTTGAAAAAAAAAATGCCTGAACAAATATGAAATGGACAAATAGATTCTTAGTTTTGCCGTTGCAAAATAATAGTTTATCATTAATGTTGTTAGGCCTCTCGCACGATATTTCGGAATGAGATGATATATATATATTTGTTTTAATGAATATAATACATATTATGTACCGTCGTAAAGTGCGTTAAGAAAAAAAAAACGTAAAAGCGCGGCAAAATAGGTTATTCATTTTATTTACGATTTTGAACGAGAGAGCCTAATTGCACTCTTTATTTCTTATTTTCTTTATCTCTTCTCTGCTTTCCCGATCTTCGTTCTTAGTGCGTAAGTATGCGAATTGGATCGAATTATGAATATCTGATATGTTTCATAATTTTTTGGGATTTGTCTCATTTTTCTGATTCTTTCCCCGATCTTTGCTAATAGTGTATAAATATAAAGTTTGATCTTGTTATTGATATCCGTTACTTTCATAAATATTGGGGATTTTTCCGATTTTTCTTTCTAATTTCGTTTTGAGTATAATTGAAAACCTTTTACTAATTAAACATTTCTTGAATGTTTTCCAGTTAACAACGATATAATAAAAATAGAATACAACAGCTATTTCTCATGCATAAGTTCTTAGTTCTACCGTTGCATTTATTTATTAGTTTATCAGTAATGTAAGGTCTTTCACTTGGTATTTCAAAATGAGGTGACATTTCAATGCTTGAATGAATGAATATCAATACATGTAATGTACCGTCGAAAGTTCATTCAGGAAAAAAAATGTAAAAGCGCTGTATAAAAGGGCGTTAGAATTATTCACGATTTTGAACGAAAGTGCCTATTTGCACTTTATAATTATAATTTCTTTATCTCTTCTCTCCTTTACCCGATCTTTATTCCCAGATAATTAGTATGCGAAATGGATACAATTATGAATATCCGACATGTTTCATAATTATTCGGGATTTTTGTCCTTTTTTCCGATTCTGTCCCCGATCTTTGCAATACTAACAGTCCATTAATAGGTACCTTTGATTATATATGAATATCTGATATGGTTCATGAATGCTAGGGATTTTCGGTTCGTTCTTATTAATTTAGTAATGTGTATTATTGAGAACTTTTGACTGAGTAAATGTTCATGACTGCCACCTATGCATGCTGACTTCCAACCATCAGTCTCGAAATTTAACATTTTAATATGTTTATGAACTCAATTATTGTATGTTTATCTTATTTTTTTTGTTATCTTACTTCAATAAACTGGTATTGTAGTCGTGCGGTTACCAAGCATGTTCACGCACAATGGAAATATTAATTTGCTTAACATTTGTAAACAGACATGCAAGGTAAAGAATAAAGGCATTTAATAGGTATAGCACACACAAAATAATTACAACAAACACATGTTATTTGATGGTTGCAAATGATCAAGCCTTATGAAAACTTAAAAAAACACCAAAAAAACAGAATTGAAATTGGTCAATGCGTTGTGATTTTATACCATTTTTTTTTAATATCGCAAAATTCTCAAAAAACCTGCCTAAAATGGTCAAATTATCAAAAGTGGCATAATTCGACAAAGTTGACAACTTAATTTATCACTTTCTCGGACACAAATAATAAATTAAATTATCAGACACTAAAATATTATCTTTGTGGTAAAAAATTCAACCAAAAAAATGCAAATATCTATTACCGTTTTGAAAACAGAAGCCAACAAAATAAGTAATTTTTGCCATTTTTGCGAATCTGCAGATATAAAAAAAAGTTGTGAAAATAACTAAGTCCGCCTAATTAATATGCGCATATGTAATCAAATCAAAACCGAACATGATACATCAGTGAAACCTATTTATATCAGACAGGTATGGAAATATATTTCATTTGTTATACAATAAAATCATGAATATTCATCAAGTATGCAAATTAGGTCATTTCGGCTAATTATATATTCGCGCACTCTTTATGCAAATTAGGAAAGTCAAACTGTTCATTTTGGGGGCATTTTTAAAATCATATATTCATAGATCATATTTACACCAAATATTGACCTTAAATTCCTAATATTTTTGCAATGCCAATACAATATGGCGATGAAAATTACTTGGATCACCGTCACAGCTATTTCCTCATGTGTTTCACAAATAATTCAGAAAAACCGATCATATGATAAGAATTTGTAGACTTTCAGCTACATCACATTATCTACCTTTTTCAGAGATGTCTGATTTGATGATTTGTGACAATTTTCCGAGATACCAATCAACAGGCCATAACATTCCACAGGGACTGAATTTCAGAGTGGCAGAAACTTTAGTGACCCCAGTACAGTTGTAGCTACCTTGAGTGTAAATAACAAATTAATTAAATGAGTGAAACGCAAGAGGATATTGCATTTTTGTAGGGGAGTTTTATACATTGAGGTGCATTTTTTTCACCACGCGGAATAGCAGCGCGAGTCAATGGGCGATCAGCGGGCCCTGTCAAATATGGCTGAAAAGACAATATTCTAATTCAATAATTAACATATTTTCCACATGCCTATAACAATGAAACTACACAGAATTGTAGTTCTCTGTCCGTAGCAAGTAAGTATGCATATCAATCCAACTGTAACTTCGTATATGTTTTGTATATTTTTTGTATACGTTTTCCTTGCATTCATATTTCATGCGTCAATGAAAGGTTAAATCCAGGTTATAAGTCACAAATAACTCATAAATATATTCATGAACAGAAAAGTTATAAAATTAGGAAATATCGAGTGAGAAAAATGTAATATTTTTTTTTTTTATTTGAAATGTTGTGTATGCAGCTGGCATTTACAGCTATCTTGTAATGGGTGATACTTATATATATTTTTATTTTATTTAACTTGTTTAGGACTTTTATAGACATGTCGTGTAATTAATTCATTGAATGAGTAACACATTAATATAGTCTGGATACATATTACATGTTAAGCCTACTGTATATGATAATTATTACTGAATTTATTAAAGTGATAACAAGTACGAAATCTTTTAGTTCTGCCGTATTTTTCTTCAAATTAATAGTTTATCAGTAATGTTCGGTGTTGTAAAAATGATACCACCTATTATCGATAACTTCCCACTATTCGTTTTGAATTTTTCATCTTTTATTAGATAAAGGATTTCGTGTTGGTCATTATGTATTGATCTTTGTTTGATGAACCGGTTTTGTAGTCCTAAATGTAGTTTTACTAACCGATTGTAAACATACATGCCAGGGAAAAATGAAGGCATTATAATTGTCATTAAGGCTTGTGGCCAATGATGTTCTACTAATCTTCAAAGAAGAAACAATTGAATCAGATGAGCATCATTTATATGTGTAAAATAGAATACATCTCTTTCTATTTTAGTCCGCCCTTCGTCTTCAGTCGTAGAAAGTAAGTATAACAATAACATTTTCTTTCTATATTCTGGTCACCAATCTGGATCTTTTGCCTTGTATCCATATTTCATGCTTTATTGAAACGCTAGACAGAGGTTGTAAATTGTAATTCATTATAGTTCATATGAACCAAAAGGTTTTTCACAACAAGAATGGTAAATCTAAAAAATATGTCTTATACTGCTCATTTGATTTTTAATCTCGTATTTACAATTGGTATTTACATCCATCTCCTAATGGATGATATATTCAGGTGTAGGATCAATTTCATTTACTTGTCGCATAGTTCTTTTATTTGATGACTCTCGATTGTAAATAATAAATATAGTTTGGAAAAATGATTGCACAAAAACTGAACAAAAAAGAAAAAAAATCCTTGAATGAAAATTAACAAATCGACAAATTTTAACATTTTTTTTCTTTTATGTCAATTTATTGAAAGTAATGTAAAGTCATTCAGAGTTTGAGAAGAATGTATAAGAAGACATTAACGATTTGATAGAAATAAACTGTTTTGTATTGACTATTTCTAATATTCCTCATCTCTTGTTTTGCTTTCAAGCCCCCGATCCTTCAGCGTTTCCAGACCGTAAGTGTGCAACTTGATCTAATGATGAATATCTGAGACGTTTATTAAATTTCAGGGATTAATTTCATGTAACTATTTGGGGAAGGGAGGGGGAGGGAGGGGGTGTAAGAGGACACTTCTTTTTTGTTTGGGTCTCAAAATTTGAACATTTGACATTTTGCTCCGTTGGGGGGGGGGGGGGGGGAGGTCAGCTTTTTTAGGTCAGCCATTGTCAAATATTTTTTTTTCTTCATATTTTTTTGATTGAACAAAAAAAAATCACAAAGGGGGGGGGGGGGGAGGGGGCTTGCTTCACAATACACACATACAAAAACTGAAGGGGGGGGGGGTTAACCCCCAACCCCCTACCTCTTACGCGCCTGATGAGAGTGTACATGCAATTGCAAGCCCTCTCTACAGAAGAAAATATTTACTATTTAAGCTGATATTTTGATTATAATTTACGTACATGAAACTCCCATCAAACAGAGCAAAATACTTTTCTGGTGATTGGTACAATTTGAATTTCAATATCCAGGAACAGACGTGGCAAGCAAGATGATCCATCCTTTTAGAGGGGGCACTATTCAACTACCGCATTATGGAATCAGCCTCTGCATACCCGTATTGGCGCTGCAAAAGGAGTGTGAGATTACTCTTAAGGTAATTTGTAAAATTCTTCCCGACACTTCCACACTCTCTCTCTTTATACCTGCATTAATGCGCGCTCTTATGGCACGAATGAGAGATGGTCCCCCTCTCTCTCTTCATAATTATCTTGGCTCTACAATATGATTTCATAAATTACCATAAAGGTAAGGCGTATTCAAAATCATGGTATCAGAGTAGAGGTGCTTTTATCACTTGGATCTGGGGGAAAAACAAGAATAAATAGTTTGTGCAGAAAAAGTTCGTGATAACCCTCGTACTAGCAAGAATTAATATACATCATTGTCATAAAAAGGCCGGCATTACGTTTACCTCGTTTTGTCAACAAAAAAATGCACATGAGTGAGGGGGGAAAAGAAATGAAAAGAAGAAAGCAAAAAGAAAAGAGAAAAAGAAAAGAGTGAAACGAAACAAAATAATAAGAATATGAGGAGGGCAATAATGCAATACTAGTGACGCGTAAACTAATACATTAATCCCTTCTGCATGTTAAAGACAACAGATAGTAAAACCAACGACTAGAACCGGATATTCGATGCCGAGAGAACAATTAACTGGTACCGAAATCGACAAAAATATAAGGACCCATCTTGACTTTAAATTATTATGGATAGTCTGTGGTGCAGATCATTTCAACGATTGAAAAATGCCTTCTTAATTTTAACAACAACAATAATTATACAGTAGACTTGCGGGTGCACCATGTGACAGAGAGAGAGGATTGAGGAGTCCTGAAAAGGACTCTCGGTAATCTTTCTTGAGGCTGTGTAGTCCTGAAAAGGACAATTTGTGTAGTCTTGAAGAAAAAGTTGGTTATCTCTCTTAGATTACCTTTTCAGGACTCTCTCTCACACATGGTGCACCCGCAAGCCTACTGTATTTCTACCTCACCATGCAAGCCGATACTTACAAGCAGCATCTAACAATAATTAAGTTCATTCTTCTGATTTAGTCCGATGAGGGCAAGACGTAAAGCTTTAGTGATGTCTGTGTTCGCTCCTATTCTTCGTTCCTGTAGTACCATCATTTATTTTTGTTTGATAATGTTTTAATTAATTTAGACACTTCATATTTTGATAAGCCTACTAAAAAAGAGTGTAAGATTGAATAGAAATAGTAAGTTCATGCACCCGATTTATTGCCATTTAACTCAGGTTCTAGCACAGCCGTCAAGTGTCCTTTTCGCAGAGAACGAAGCTCTTGTCTCCCCTGGTGTAGTGTGTGAACCTTCGGGAACCACGTTTGAGAGCCCATTAAAGTTGGTCATCCCTCACTGTGCGGTGTTAACAGACCCCTCCAAGGCCAAAGTCATCCTATACTTCACTCATGGTGATACACAAGGTGAGTGTATTTATAAAGTGTGAAAGCAATAAAACACATTGTGTGGAACCGATGATAATTAAGTGTGAAGAGGTGTGGAAACTTTGTAAACCAAATATAAACATATGTAGCATGGAGGGAGATTTGTAATACTGTGGATAACAGGGAGGAACAGAGGGGGTTGAAAAATGTGAACAATCCCTGGAGACACAACGTTTGGAAACAGTTGCAAAACACTTTGGAGACACTAAGAAATCATTGTGAAGAGGGTGAAAACAAAGTTTGTAAACAATAAGAAAACAATGTAGAGACACTTAAAACGTTTTGCAAACGTAACGGGGATGCACTGCAGCATGATCCCTTTTATCATCATTATATATATTTAATAATAATCTGATAAAGATGAGTGTTTTTTATTCCATGTCCCTCTTCTTTAATGCCTCCTTTTCTCCCTCTCTCTTTGTCCTCTTATATCTTCCGCACTTTTGCAGTCACCAAGAAAGAACTGTCATCAACCGGAATACCTAGATGCGTAGTAAGAAAAGATGAACTTGAAGTCTACATTGACCATTTCTCAATTTGTGAAATGTTCATGGTCATTTCCGACTACCTTGTTGGGAAACGTGTCGCTTCAACTCCCTACCTTCCAAAATCAATGAGTCGCCTCCAACCGCAATACTGCCATCTACGTCTGTACAATGATAATCCGGGTCTTGAAGATGTGAGTAATTTGCCAAAATTTATGAAAATGTGACAAATATGAATTCAGGATAAATCAAAAATATCAAAAGCTGTTAAAAAGAAAATGGGTGAAGTTGTGGAAGGGGCTTCTTTTTCATTCATGTTGTTTTGTCCACTTTATGTTGCCTTCTATTCCCTCCCCCTTTCTCGTTCATAACCTATCATTTTTATCATCAGTATTAGTAGAAGTAGTAGTATTTATAAGTATTATTATTGTAATTATCATAAGTATCATTCTTATTATCATCATCATCAGTATTATTACTATTCGTATTATTATTATTATCAATATCATCATCATCATTATGTTCTTATATTTCTGTATAGGTAGGGAAAATGAATAAAGCCCCTTGCCCCTGTACGCACTTGTTTTCAAATACTTTTATTACTGCCAAGTATTTATTTGCATATTATATGCATATAAATATATATATATATATACTACTGTATATGAAAATATTCCGTTACATGGTATTTCGAATTAATTATTCAAGCGTTTCCGTAAATCGCTTGGGGCCTGTACTCCAAATTAAGCGCTTTATATTTTCCGATTTATTATCATTAACTTCAAGCAGCTCTGTGTGGACGAAATATCGTTTTACAGAAATGTATCAAACGCCTTTTTTGCTATGTCTCTTTTTCATTTCTTACACATGTATATAAATATATAGGGTGGTATTCCGGTAGCGCGTACTTAGTTAACGCGTAAAGTTAGTCCACACTTTTGTAGAGTGCCTATTGCCAACTCATTTACCCTGTACAGATTGTTTCAATCCTTCAATGAAAAGTTTCCAAAAAAATAATTTTGCAATGAGATGGAAAGAAAAAGATAATATGAGTATGAAATGAATTTCAACGTAGTCTTTGGTAGATTATCTTTGTCATGAATATTGAAGGAGAAAGATAAAACCTAGCATTCCATAGAAGTGTGAACTAAAATTCTTGTGTGGACTTAGTCCCGACTTAACTTGTGAGAATACCACCCATATAGTTTAAAAGTAAATTATTTATTCCTTAAACAATCTTCTCCTTTTTTGGGTGAAATATGTGAACTATTTATTTGTCACAATTTATATCTTTTGAGGCTGTAACATATTAGAGCCTATATACAAACGTATTGAACAAAGGCCCTTATTTAATCAGTCCACCTCTCATTCTTCAATGACATACCTGACAAAAGTATCAAATTTACTAGATATATGAATAATTTAGATGTATCTTCTTCAAATAAGAGGGAAACTAATTTTTTAAAGGAAATGCAAGATAACACATTCAATGGTTTTTCTTCCGTCCTGTTTTCAACTTTCTATTTCTTTGCTGTACAATATTGATATAATTAGCTGATCGAAAAAGAAGAAAACAAACTCAATTATCTAAAGATGGCTTCGACACAGAAAATATTCGTGCTCTGGGAGAAAGGCGAACTGAAGATCAGATGCGAGGTCGACAGCGGTCATGTCACCGAGAACGAAAAGGTACGGAAACAGTTTATACACTGGCGATTTTCAGAACGAATGGTTTATAATGTAGATAAATCTTGTTATATTATCAAGGAGGTTGAGGGGGTGGGGGGGGGATGAGAAGAACGAATAAATGCCCCATCATCACTACAATATTCGGATTCTTAATCCTTTCTCATTGGTATTCTTGTATGTTTGCACTTCATGTTCTTCACTCATTTCCCCCAATATTAATGTCATACCAATGCACTACGCATATTTCATTTCATACCAACAAATCTTTGTCTTCATCGTGGCCAAAATGAGAGTACCGGGCAACTAGGTAAGTAACTTACTTATGTAGTTGATTACCAAGTTGCCCTATACTTAATTATTATGTTTTAGGTACAATGCGATCCCTAAAGGATTAAAGGTAGTACATTTAACATAATGTTATCAACTTTCTTTAATTTGGGAAATTAAATTTACAAAAGTAATCCGAGCGTGATTTATACATGCAATTCAAAAGGCTATTTGAATCACTATTTGATTTTGTTGATTTCTTTAAAGTCTTTCCTTTTATATTTTTTGTTTCGTATGTGTTTCCATCTCACAAATAAAGACCGTATCGCTAGATGACATCTATAGATTGGATCGAAAGGTTGTCAGTTTTCTAGTGAAAGCGACAGGGAATGCCGATGTACATTTCAAGTTCAACTTTCATCCTCATTGTGACGAGGGACATGCCTTCAAAGCAGAATTCTCAGGTTTGTGGCTGGGTCTCCTTGCATAAACATTGCCATTGATAGTAATTTCCATGGAAACGTAGATTTGATTAGCTTTTGGGTGATGTTGCCATGGTAGTTTTTGTTGATGGCAAAGTTACCATCAATGGTAATATTTATGCTGTGGGGCCCTTTTGTGTACGTTCATTGGTACTAGCGTGTGTGTATGTGTGCGTAGGATTTTGTGTTTTCTTTCTTTTAAAGTGTTTTCCTTTTCTTTTGTTATAATCTGAATAGTATTTACTGATGTTGACAATTCTTTGATAAACGGTTATTATCTATAGGCAGATGTTGTTCTCATCCCCCAGTTTACACACACACACACGCACACACACACACTCTCTCTCTCTCTCTCTCTCTTTCTTTCTCATGTTTGTGAAGTACGATGTAGTGAAGTCCCCGTTTATGTGTTGTGTCTTTATTTCATAAGTGTCTTCCTTGTTTATATGACATATTATCGGTCTTTCAACCAATTTAATGATAAACGAAGAATGAAGACAATCACTTTTGCTTTTCCAGTATTTGAATTAGAATTGTATAGCATTGCAAACATATAAATATCCTGAGTTGCGACCTGTATTGTATATGATTTCTGTGGAAAAGAAAGTAATTGTTCTTAATAAATATGTTTCATTTATAACGGTTAAAATCATTTCTCTTTTTGTACCGAAATTTGCGACAATATAAATCTCCAAAGCACATTTAAAAAACCTACTCTATTGTATTTATCTATTTATTGATTATTTGTTTCTACCTATCTATTCATTTATTTGTCTCGATGCAGATGTTGGTGAAGCTCCTATCGTGTAAGTACTTATCAAGATACTAAACAAATGCATTCCGTGATAACTTTAAAATACACACAATCACGTTTATTAAATAAATAAAAACATCTCCAAAATGTTGCACATCTGCCCATGAAAGTGAAAAAAGAGAGAATGTTATGTTGTTACACGACTTCACTAATTATTCACAAGGTAAGCTCTCGTTAAAGGAACCCTTCGGCAGCATCTTTGGTTGTCGCTTTCCCACCGTGGACGATCAGAGAGAGAGAACTGATACTCTCAATACGAAGTACACAACTTTTGAACCTTTTTCGCTATCAGTGCAATATCTTTCCTTTGTATTTATATACACTGATATATTTACTATTTTATGTGCGGTACCCGAATGCGTAACCCAGATGATAGTGTCGGGAGTGTCACGTATGACAGACATGAGCACTATACAAGAACCCACTATTATCATTAGTATTAAGTTTAAAGAATGAAATTGCCCTTGCCCATTTCCAATCGAATCGGTGATATTTTCACATGCCATGTTGTTATACCATACATTTATCCTATACTTTGTGCAATAACGAATGAGTCACCTAGCAATATTGAGCGTTGTTCAGGCGATGCAGAATCATGAGTCAGAGTTAAAAATAACCTAGCTTTAGCTCAAGGTGATGTAGTTTTGGTTTTATAAGTAATTTTGATTTGTTATCGATCCATGGTTGGTTTAGTAAAGTTTACCGATCAATTAAACACTTCCAATATATAACGATTTCACTGAAAGGGACAATACTCCACAGATAGCGACCAACTTATTACATTTCCTTTTTGTCCAGACAAGTGCCTTCCACCACAACTTCAATGAAACCAGAGGGGGCCACAGCGTCGTCTACAGAGCCACCGTCGTCTTCGGAGAAGAAATATCGAATCCGATCAGAGTAAGTCATAATAAAAGTTCAAAGATTTGCAAGGTGAAAATCTAAAAACATGATTAAGGGCAGAATGTTGTGAAAATAAACCTAATTGTTAACATATTCAAAAAGCACTGTGCAAAATAGTATTAGTTTTAAAAATACTTTTTTATGGCAACGGCAGTGTTTTGCTCACCCGATTTTGCGTGTAAAAATAAGTGTTTAATTGTGTTCACTCGTAGAGAGAATGCCACGGAGTCTTTTTATCTGAAGCTTTGCACAAACGTTCATATACTCATGTTGCTGCTACAGATAATGTATATAGCAAATCGGTCAGAGTAAGCCTAGTCCTAACAGTATTACCAAAACATTTTCAGTGACCCATTAATGCATGTGGGTCAAGAGAGGTAAATGTGCCTTAAACTCTTTGTCTAAAGATGTTAAAACCAGGCACCTCTGGGGTGAGAGTGAAGAAACTGCATCAAGATAACGCAGTACTCACATATTTCCTAGCCGACAACGAGATCAGAAGGAGAACTTTATTTAATTGCATTTTGTTCCAGAGTATGGAACGTGACCGAAGTATCAAAAGACCGGCATAAGGTCAGGTCTTGGGATATCCCAACATAATTCTTGGACTAATATGACTCTTAAAACAGACATGTGGAAAAAGTATTACCTCGTATTTAGTATGCAGATTGATATGGTCTTTTTGTTAAATTAGTGTAATTAGACATGTCGATGATAGGGCAATTGTGAACAAGAACTATTGTTTAACTTCAGTTTGCAGAAACAGCTGTCAGCTAATTTTGGGTGTTTTTAATATTCACCAAATGCAAAATATGGCGACCCCTTTTTGTTTTTGCGCAGTAAGGATAGTTTCACCCTTCTGAAAGAATATCTAAATATAGATATTTAGTATAAAAAAAAATTGTTAAACGGGTAGGTGAAATGAGGAGGGAAAGTGAGTTGTAATTTATTATCACATGGAATCCACCATGCTTGCGTAATCTTAAGATTCCCACTTATATTCTTTTGTTTCTTTAAGGCTACCAGCTACATCAACAAGATTGGACGACATACTGCTCTACGATATCGCCGATGAGATCGAGACTGATGAACACCTCGAAAGGTTAATGCACACTCTGGAAGTCACACTGGGGTCACAGTCACGGTATCACGAGATCAACAGGTTGGAAGGTCGCATTACGGCTAGAGGAACCCGTCAAATGATGACGGATTGGAGGGCCAGGACAGCAGTCATAGAGCAACGGGACAGGCTGAAAGACGCCCTCACCAGGGCTGGGCTGTTGGACCTGAGGGACAGATTCTTCCCAGGCTAGAAAGAATTAGAAGAAAAGAGCAAAAAAGAAGAATGTGATGGGAAAAAAGTTTTGTTATATAACATGACTTAAGTTCGTCACACCATCTAAGGAGCACGATAATTAAATGTTCTGAAATGACTGGTTTTAAGCGTCGAACTGTCAATACTCGAAATTCGAAATCTAGTAATCCTAAAGATATTGTTTTATTCACTCTGTCGTCCAATTCTCGATTATGTTTGGTTACTTTGTCAAAAAAACTACATTAAATTATTATAAGCTGTGCACAGACACTCTACTAGATATTTCTTTAAAAGGTGCAAAGTCTCCGTCAAATGATGGGCGACTAGTTCTTTTTAATTTGTCTCCTACATAATACATATACAACAGAATGTTTTTTTTGTCCATCTGTTTTGTACTGAAATATTCTTTACTTACAGCACCTTCCTAAGATAAATTGACTGATATTAAATGTTTCTGTTTTAATAACGAAATCGATTTAAATACTCTTGTCTACTTAGGAAATACAAAATGATAATAAGCTGGTATCAGTAAAAGTATTTGCATTAATTATATTTAGGGCGCATGTATAACTTAACATATTTCGGAAAGTAAAATAAAAATGACTGATTTGTTGTTCAGATAAAATGGGAGATAACGTCGCAAGATTCATCAAATAGCTGGCCATTTGTGTTTGATTGATCGGAACTTAAAAAATGCGTAACTTTAAAAAAAAATAATAATCGGATTTTGCTCAAACGCTTAAAGGCAGGCTTTACTTCTTCAGCTAGAAGGGATTAGACCACCAAGCGAGCCAGCGAGGTCACTGTGACAGGTGGCTATTTCATTAACTCAGCTCTAATTTAACATAAGAAAAAGAGGATCATGGGGGACCAACAGGCACCGGTTGGGGAAGTTATCTATATGGAGGGAGCAAGTAGCTACAAGTAGGACAGTGTGCCTTTAAATTGAATATTCCCTCTCATTTGTCCTTCTATACATAAAATCAGGGCGTACATTCCCTTTAAGCACAATTCTTCATTTTTGTGAAACTTTTCCGTTCTTTAGCTACCTACTTCATTCATACTTTTGTCAGATAAGCCATTTGAAAATGTCTTACACTGTCATCTTCCCGATATGCCCACTACAGTACAATAATATTTTGAGCAATCTTATTATTTTGTATTCCTACCACATTCTTTACATTACATTCTGGTAAATTTCTGTTTGTAAAAACATATAAATATTTTGTATATTTTCGGTGGAGGAAGTAGATTTTTGTAGTAACAACAACCAATGAAGAGAGGCCTTTAGAAATTAATATCTCTGTGAAGCAATCCCCATGCATTGGTTGTTGTTTTCGTTTATATTTGTATCGTTATTATAACCATCATTTTTGTATTCTTTCATTGGCTATGTATGTTATTGTTTTGTTGTTGCTGTGAACCTGGAAATTGAATAAATAGATAAATGCCATGAATCTGGAGGATATTAGGCTCTCCGGACCTCAAAGAAGAAGAAGAAGAGATAAAAGAGTAAGGTTAATACTTGTATTGATTATACTACATTATAAAATTATCACGTTCGTTATCATATGTTTATATATTAATGTTACTTACAGTATGTCATGAAGCTATGGTTCTTTGCTTATTTCTACTATACCTTACGTTTACATATTCTTTTTTTTTTTATTAATGTATTGTATTTAGAAAATTAAACCATTAGAACAAAATAAAATTGAAATTAAATAAGGAATGCCAACAAATCTCTTTAATTCTTATAAATAAAGGATAGTGTTATGTAACTTGTACGTGTATGCTAAGCATTTCCTTAATAACATTGTATATGTTCTTACGTATTGAAAATGTGTTATCTTGTACGTTAGCTTTCTCTTTCTTTATAAAAAAGCAAGAGTCGAGAACATTTGATTTAATGTAAGGCTAATTGTATGTAACTGTTAAGCATTTCCTGAATTCAATTGTAAATTTTATTACGAATTTAAACAGTGTTAACTTGTACGTTATTTTTCTTTGTATTTCTACATGACGAAAACTCTCCGTTAGAGAAAATTCAGTGAATTGTCTCATAGACTTTAGTTTGGTCCTAAGCACTTTGATATAGTCATTATCATTAAGTAAACAAGACCCTTCCTTATCTGCTGGTGAACTTATCCCTATGTCAATACAAGGCTATTAAGGACTTAATCCCTGTATCAACAGAGCTTGCGTACATTTAGGTGAGCCTGGAGCGTTGGGTTAGTCTAGAATTCAGACAATAATTATTGGTTTCAGCATGGACCTGCGAGAAGTAAATTAGATGTATTGTGGTACCAGCAACTGGCAACTTTGGAACTCAAGTCGAACAATAAGTGTTACTAGCATATTTACGAGACGCTGCATTCCGAAAGAAAGAAATGAATGAAGGAAATAAACGTCAATATCACCGGCGCTTGAGACAGATTGCGGGAGAGATAGAAGCAAAAACATTTCAATATCGCTGTTACCGGCTTTTTAATATTACACAAATTATGCCAACGGAAAAAAAAAATGAATGAAGGAAATGAATGCCTACAACACCAGCGCTTGAGAAATATAAAGAGAGACATGTCTCAGGAGATCGAGAAGCGAAAACAATTCAATTTAGCTAATGTTACCGGATTTTATATGACAAATAGTACGCCAACAGAAAGAAAGAAATGAATGAAGAAAATGAACGCAGATCGCTGGAGAGAGAGAAGCGAAAACAATTCAATGTCGCTGATGTTACCGGCTTCATGACAAAAGGTAAGCCAACGGAAAGAAAGAAATGAATGAAGAAAATGAATTCCAATATCACCATCGCTTGAGAATTATGAAGAGAGACAGATTGCAGGAGATCGAGAGAAGCGAAAACAATTCAATTTGGCTGGTCCATCTATCATGACAAAAAGTAAGCAACGGAAAGAAAGAAATGAATGAACAAAAATGAACTTGTCAATATAACAATTAAGCGCTTGAGCAATATAAAGAGAGACGGATCTCGGGAGAGAGCAAAGCGAAAACAATTAAAATATCGCTGATGTTACCGGCTTCATTACAAAAAGTAAGCCAACGGAAAGTAAAGAAAATGAATGAAGAAAATGAATGCCAATATCATCAGCGCTTGAGAATTTTAAAGAGAGACAGATCGCGGGAGATCGAGAGAAGCGAAAACAATTCAATTTGGCTGACGTTACTACCGTCTATCATGACAAAAAGTAAGCCAACGGAAAGTAAAGAAAATGAATGAAGAAAATGAATGCCAATATCATCAGCGCTTGAGAATTTTAAAGAGAGAAAGATCGCGGGAGATCGAGAGAAGCGAAAAAAATTCAATAGCTGATGTTACCGTCTATCATGAAATAAGTAAGCCAACGGAAAGAAAGAAATGAATGAAAAAATGAATTCCTAGATCACCATCGCTTGAGAATTATGAAGAGAGACAGATTGCGGGAGATCGAGAGAAGCGAAAACAATTCAATTTGGCTGATGTTACTACCGTCTATCATGACAAAAAGTAAGCCAACGGAAAGTAAAGAAAATGAATGAAGAAAATGAATGCCAATATCATCAGCGCTTGAGAATTATAAATAGAGAGAAGCGAAACCAATTCAATTTCCACGCTCTGTGCGAGAGTGGGAGGGGGTGTAATTAAGACAAGAATTAAGTTTCGAGAACGGTACAACGAATCGTCTTCTTTCTCTAATAATTTAATGAAGCGTCAAAGCTTCCGCGCTTTGCGCTGGAGAGAGGGTAGGAACTGAATTTATGCAAGAATTATGCAAGTTTCGAGAACGGTACAACGAATCGTCTTCTTTCTCTAATAATTTAATGAAGCGTCAAAGCTTCCGCGCTTTGCGCTGGAGAGAGGGTAGGAACTGAATTTATGCAAGAATAATGCAAGAGTCGAGAACAGTACAACGAATGGTCTTCTTTGTATTATGATTTAATGTAACGTCAAAACTTCCGCGCTTTGCGCGTGAGTGAGGGGGGGGGGATGAATTCAGACAAGAAATAAGATTCGAAAACGGTACAACGAATCGTCTTCTTTCTCGAATAATTGAATGAAGCGTTAAAAGCGTGGGCAGGAGGGGGGGGGGGGGCCTTATATAACACAAGGATTTAGAGTCCAGAACGGTATAACGAATCATCTTCTTTCTCGAATAATTATATTAATCGTTGACGCTCCCGCGTAAAGCGCAGGGGGGGGGCTGAATTCAGACAAGAATTAAGATTCGAGAACGATACAACGAATCGTCATTCTCTAATAATTTAATGAAACGTCAAAGCTTCAGCGCTTTGCGCGTGAGTGGGGGGGGGGAGGCGCGGATCCACCGGCCACCCCCCTAGCCCCCCAAAACGGTAAAAAAATAGAGAACGATACAACGAATCGTCTTTCTCAATTATTGATAAAACGTCAAAGCTTTTGCGCTTTGCCCTGGTAGAGTCGAGAACGGTACAAAGAATCGTCTTCTTTCTCAAAATGAAGCGTTAAAAGCGCGGGAGAAGGGGGGGTGGTCTTATTTAAGACAAGGATTTAGAGTCGAGAACGGTACGACGAACATGAAGTGTTGAAGCTTCCGCGCAAAGGGCGGGAGGGGGGGGGGTAATATTTAAGACAAGGATTTAGAGTCGAGAACGGTACAACGAATCGCCTTCTTTCTCGAATAATTAAATGAAGCGTTAAAAGCGCGGGAGGGGGAGGTCTTATTTAAGAAAAAAAAAGATTTAGAGTCGAGAACGGTACAACGAATCGCCTTCTTTGTCTAATGATTTAATGAAACGTAAAAAAGCGCGGGAGGGGGGGGGTCTTATTTAAGACAAGGATGAAGAGTCGAAACGGTACGACGATTCGTTTTCTTCCACTATAAATAATGTAATGAAACTTCAAAGCTTCCGCGCTTCGGACCAAAAAATAAAATAAGAGAAGGTGATTGTAGGAAGAAACAATTAATAATTACTTAAGGAAAGACAGAAAAAGAAAATGAGAAAATGATGAAGACA